CTCTTCCTCGCCCTCTCCCTCGGACATGCTGTCAGCGTCAGCGCGCGCTCTGGCTTCGCCAGTGACCAATACCGTCCGAGACAGCGACTCCTGACTCTCCAGTCCTATCCTGCTACTCGGGGCTTGACTTGGCAAATGTGGCGCTCTGAGTGTGATCAGTACTTAGACGTAGCAAGTCCAGCAGTAAGAAAATCCGCATTTATCACATGTGTTTGCAAAAAAATCGTCTGTCTTAGAATAGGCGCCCGGTATTCCTCCAAGGTGATTCAGTTGTCCTTGTGTTTGGCGTCATGTAGAAGAGATTCCCAGGGCCGTAATAAAGGACGTTAGCTTGACGCAGGAAGGCTTTGAACGCAGCCCAAATCCTCCGGCTTTACTGCTACCATCTGGTAGTGGACAAAATAATCTGTATGAGAGTTTCTCAGGGAAGAGCTCATAAACTGCAGCAATTAGGAGGCAGAGATGGACGAGACAATTGCCAGAATGGGCTAACAAGACGGCTTCATCATCAGATGCCGGACCAAAGACAAGGCAGAATATTGGAATGGCACATGTTACCTAGCATAACCGCTAATAGAAGCGAAGAGGCGAACTTCAGGAAGCAGTCGCCGAGAAGGAGACACGTTAGCTGGAACAAATGCTTTTGTAGCCTGAAGTTTCGAATTTTCACTCAATTCATCATCAGAGACAGAGTCAGATAAGGGCAGTGGATGCCTAAGTGCTGCAACATTTATAGGAGGTAGTTGTTAGGTCGCTACATGCCTATTACAGTTGGCAGCCCCCAAGTGCATCACAGCTCGACTGGTCAGGTGTTGAAATACGCGCTGCCATGCAGTTACTATGTCTCTGACTCTGTCTCTGATGATGGATTCCAGTGAGAATCCGAAACGTCAGGCTAATAAAGCACCTGTTCCAGCGATCGTGTCTTCTTCTCCGCAAGCATAACAGCCCCTGACAACAGGAAAAAATTCCGCGGCTTAAGGATGTCGATAGCGTGAAGCTGAAAGTAGCGGGTACTTTTGTGTGAATTTAACCAGTGCTCTGCTAATAGCGCACATTACTCATCGCGCACCGTGGTAGCGTGGCCGAGCGGTCTAAGGCGCCGGTTTAAGGCACCGGTCCGAAAGGGCGTGGGTTCGAATCCCACCGCTGCCAATGTTTTTGTCGGTAGAGGACGATTACTGACAAATACAAAGGTGGCTGTGAGGGTCGTTTCTGACCCATTAGCTGTCATCAGGGTTGAGGATCCCGAGACTTTATTCTACCTGCTTTGGCAGTTGGACTTTAATGACTTAAATGTCCTACTGGTGCAGCTAGAGGCACATCCTCCCGGTTTCAGTTGGAAATATTAACTTTAATTGAAGAAGAAGAAGAAGAAGAAGAAGAAGAATAAGAAGAAGAAGAAGAAGAAGAAGAAGAAGAAGAAGAAGAAGAAGAAGAAGAAGAAGAAGAAGAAGAAGAAGAAGAAGAAGAAGAAGAAGAAGAAGAAGAAGAAGAAGAAGAAGAAGAAGAAGAAGAAGAAAGCTAACCGAGCACCGAAACAGTCCATTTATTGTTCTGAGCTTTAGAACTCGTACAGGAGTTCATTGTCAGAGATAGTAGCTACGACATAACCAGCGACAATTGTAGTGCGTGCTAGCCAACCATCGATCGATGGCGCAGGACTGGAGGTGACTTTGCAGGGCTGTGTACGCCGGCGCCAGATCGATAAGTCGATCGACTGAACTCTCACCCGAGGCCCGGGTTTCCGTTAATCCTCGGCCTGTTTTGTTTCTAGCGTGGACTGTGAATAGAAGCGAAGAGACGAGTCCCAGGAAGTAGTCTTGAAGAAGGAGACACGATCGTGTCTTGTGGTAATTCGTCGCCTCGTCTCACAGCCGACTTATGTTCGTATATGCTCAATCCGAGCATGCGTCCAGTCTGGCCTGTGTAGTTACAAGGACAGGACCAAAGATCGGTCCTCGGACCTCAGCCGGTCTTGAATTTTCATGACCTTGCTACGCATGGTGGCTTTGGGCCGGTATGAAATTCCAACACCTAGTTCCGCAGCAATGCCATCGATCGAGGATTGGCTAACAAGCACTAAAATTGTCACTTGTCCTGCTGTTGCTACTATCTCTGACCATTAACTCCTGCACGAGTACTAAAGCTCATAACAACAAACAGAATGTTCCGGTGCTCGAACAGCCTTGTTCTTTATCTGAAACACGAACTTTCACATCCATTCATATGAACTTGTTGGAGCTCTAGCTCGCGCCCAAAAACACAACAGGATGAGCATGTCCCCTAACCGATCGGTGAAAACGATTTCAGCATAGTTCATATCGCCGATACAGGCGAGTATGCGAGTCCCAGAAAATAGTTGATAAGACGTAGAAACTATCGCTGGAACAAGAGCCCTATCCGTCTGACGTTTCGGATCCTCGCTAGAACCCATCATCAGAGACAGTGACAGAAACGGGTGTTTAGTGCACAGGAAATTGCAGGATTTATAGGATGTAGTCGTTATGCTACTGCACACCTATGGTAATTAACCACTCTCCCCTTCATCAAGACTTGTTACCCGCTGGTACGCTAATTGCTTGATGGCCGGCAGGCAAGTTGTTATTTGCTGAAATCTCATCAGCCGTGTTGGATGCTGGCGTGATGATTGCTCGGCCATCTGGCTCACCGGCCTGCGCGCTCCCTGATTGGTTAATTACTATACCTATACCTAACTACTGTCATGGAAAGTAGCTACCACCTCCCGTGTTGCTTCTCCTTCCCGCATACAATGTGGAGCTCAAGACAGTCAGCCAGTGGTGTGGATATATCAAATCACAGTCCTCAAAGCAATATTGTTGTGTTAAATGTCGACTCACCATGAAATGTCTCTTTACATCGACCTTCACGTCAAAACACAAGCGGAAAGGCCAATCACTGACAGATGGTAACATGTTCTTCAGATGAAAATGGCCAACGGAAGTTTGGATTCAGTAGATTTTCCGAAATTTCAATAGGATCCTCCGGAAGGGCGTTTTAGGGTCCTTCCTTCGCCCAAAATTAGGAAAATTAACTTTAGTTATTTTTTTTCAGCACAGCCAGCTTTCCAATTTTTTTCTCCGTTTCAACCTTTTCCCACATTGAAAGATATGCATTCCGAGGAGTCCAGAAGGGAAAATGATCAGGCTGTATTGAAGGAAGTTTTTCCGCCACTGACAGCACCTCCGAAACCATCGCCGTCTGCCCCCTCTTCCATAGACCCTACCTCTCCTAGAAAACAGTTGGCGACTACAACCACTCGGAGACCATACTCCGAGCTTGAGCTCTCGTCCGCGGTGCAGGCCATTTGTTCCGGTCAGCTGGGCACCCGCAGGGCAGCCAGCGTCTACGGTATCCCCCGTTCTACCCTGCGCAACAAGATCTGCAAACTGAACGAGCTGCGACGTCGGGAGGAGGAACTGCTAGGCGGCGGTCGGCAGTTGAGTTTGATTGAGTTTGTGCGACTCTGCGCCATGGGAAGACCATCGACCACGGTCAGACAAACGAGCCTGGGAATGATGACAGCCGGCCTCATGAGTGGACGACGTCATGCCAGTGTCGCCAGTCGGGTGTCCTCTGTTTTCCGGGTAAGGATTGTTAACTGCCGTAATTATTGCTACTATTTTAATTTTAGTAGCGGTATTGTCGCAATAAACAGAGAGTGCCGTCACTTGAGTCAGCGGCCTTTCGGTTAACCGAAGTCCGGCGGTCTCCCAGTGCGTGTGTCAGCTACAAGCGAGCTTTGTTGAATTAGGCGATAATAATGACTAACAGGCTAGTTGGGCCGGTGGATGAGGGCATACTCACTAACGAGCAAGCCTAACAGACTTTTATCTTCTTTCGCGCACTTCAAGGTCAACTGTCGCCGATCGATTGGCAAAGTGATGCCCACCGCCGAAATCCGGGCCAGGGGTACTTCACAAGGCTCGACCGAGCGGCTGGCACAGGCCGCAAAACAGGACAACCAACGACTGGTCTAACGCCGAAGGCTCCGAGGGTAATGCCTCCCATTCTCTGAAAACTTTATTCCCGCAGTATTTCGAGTAGAGCCAACTGCCCAGCACTAGTTCCCCAGCGACGAGCAGTGTTTTGTTTCAGTGTGCTGATAGAGAGCCTGCCAAATTGCCATAAGTCCATATAAAAATCTACTCACGCTGCAATTTCATGGCTCATTCGTTACTTCCCACTTTTACTGGCGTTAATGGTCCTGAGATATAAATTCCATGCGTTGGGGAATAGGCCCATGTCTCTTCTACACTTAGCTCTTTCTAAATGTAAATCCTGTCTTCTTTTGGGTCCGGAGGTGGAAAATATTCGACGTGTTTGTACAGTAAGCGTAAAGACTCATGTCATAGTCAGTTAATCCACAACTGCACCTCCAGAGAGAAAATATTACGCGTTTCACTTAATGGACACCTAATGGGCAGGATACAGTTGGGGCTGGAGTTAGTTGTTAGGATTAGGGATTATGGTTAGGGGTTAGGGTTAGAGGTTAGGGCTAGGGGTTAGAACAACCATTTCTCAACCACTCAAAGTACAACCGCGCATTCCCAGTAAGTTTTCCTTTGGCACACATCTACTTGACCTCGTCGCTTGTGCATTCCCCGACCCCACCTGTAAAAACTCCCACTACCACCGGTGCCGTATTACAGGTGGATGGGATTTGTTTACTTTATGTGGGGTTACATAACCACATCCGACCAAGTTTTTTCTCACTCTATCGTGCTGATTCTGCACAACCCGACTGCCTTCAAAAGGTCCTGCAGCCATAGTAAAGAAGTAAGTGTAATTTAGGGGAAAATACACTCTGTGGCATCTCATTTTTCCCACCTATGCAGCATTGGCCCTGATAATTGGAAAAAGCATAGAACATTGGAGCGTGATTTATGAGAACAGCATCGAACAGGGACTCTATATCTTGGCGCTTTAGGTGGACATAGCGAGTGGGGGAGGAGGAGGAGGAGGGACGGGCAAGTTATAACTGACTGGCCTCTTGTCAGGTCATCCATCTGCTCACACAACCGTCATCGGTGGCGATAGGGTGTAGAACCCACAAGTAGTTGGCAACTGCAAAAATATACCCTAAAATTCAGTGTAATTGTAAACATCACCTATTATTCGCCGTTCTTATAGTTTGAAATTTCCTTCCCTTTCCCGACTAAATGTAAACTTACCAACGGCGCTTTATTCAAAGTCCAATATTTTTTGAAATTCTCTTTTTGTCTATTTTTTAATTATCACGCTCACTTTCTTTGCCAAATAACAGCCTACGATAAGGCTTTCGGTGGGGATTTATTTATTTCCCTTGCCTTCTTGATATCTATTCTGTGTGCTGCCCCACCCGCAAAACCTCCTCTACCGCCATTAAACCTACGACACGGTCCGCAAGCTAGGTCAAGTTAGTTGGGGGTCTTACACCCTACCGTTGCCCCATCGTCCCCTCCTCGGGGGACTTTTAGCCGTCTCTGCCAGCTCCTCCTTCTTAAAAACGGGCCCTGACGCCTGTCTTGGGTGCGCTTTGGGGTCACTGTCCAGCAAGGGATTTGTGACTGGACGTTCCTGCGCCCAAAGACCATTTTGTCACGCATTGGGGGACCGAGCTTTCCGCTCAGACGTCGTCAGCTGTGGATAAGCTCGTGAAGCGCAGGCTTAATTGGTTTAAACGAGATGCTTTTTGTAGACCTGAAGACTTGACAGCTAACAATGGTGAACGATTCAGCCATGTTTCGGCGGCTTCGTATCTTTATGTTGGGGACAAAACCGCTTTGAAATAGGAAACAGCTGCTTAGTGGCTCTTTTGGATTGCACCGTTCCGGTAGCTTCGTCACTCTTCGTGGATTTTGCAGAACGCCTGGGGTAATATGAGAGAACATAGCCGCAACTGAGTTGCCAGATAGATTTCATAATTAAATTCGCGCTCCCCAGGTTACGTGTCGATGCTATTTATGTTGCCTCCTTTTAATTTCTTTGAAAACTGTTGTGCGAAGTTGGGGTAAATCCCCCACAACGAACCTTTCTAAGCCTGGTTCGAAATTCGCTGTGAAAATTTGAGCTAAACTTCACTAGCTCCTGAAGGGTGTCCGCGTAGTATTCACAAACCGACAACAGGCAGTCAGTAGTACACATATAGACGACATGACAGTCGGACCGTCGTTGCCGACGTCCCCCGGAAAAGATCAAAACAAGTATTTTGGCAAGCCAGTGAAGATTGGGGAATGTAACCCATGTTTCAGCAATACTGGAAACAATGTGTATTTTTAACATCCTGTTATAACGGCCATTAGAATATTTACTAGCAAGAGGGCCCTCTTTCGAGAAAAAAACAGATGGAATAGATTTTTTGTCAGTTATTTCACCAAAACTGAAAGCGTCTCTACACGCCTCGAAAGTTATTGAAGAAACACCAACCAGATACACAGATCACCGTCGTATTGTAGTAAAAGTTGGGGGATGCCATAGATTTTGCAAAAAAAAGTAAGGTTGTAACAGCTGTATAAGAATAGAAATATGACAGAAGTACTTGGGAACTGGTATAGCATGACCCACGGACTCTGTATAAGCACTTTTAGGTGCATTTTCAGTCAAAAGTAATGTCAAACTCGTCCTTACTGTCTTCTTAATTTTTCTTGCATTTTGACAAGAGTTAGCAGTTATCAAAAAAACTTTCCAGATGGTGTTCTCAAGGGGACTGATGATTTTACTTTTAGGTCGAAAAGCCACTTCATTAATCTGGAGTCTGGACGCCGCTTGAAGACTGACAAATTAACGACACACTATACTGATCCGCCCTACTTGTGGCTTGGTCATCCCTATTCGACTCCCGTCGTCTTTGCAACTTTACTGAGATTACTTTTAAATGTTGTGACTCTCAAGGCTACTTTTATGGGATGTGCAATATGTGAAATGTCAAAACTATGTTTTTTGTCTCGGGAGATTGACCCACCCAGTGGTTGCCCTACCCCTACGAATAACATAACTACCTACTCAAATCACAGTAGCAGACTAAGTAGCTAGTTAACCGGACAATGAGACCGTTCAGATGAGATATTTCTTCATGGATCAGCCTATTTAGGGGTAACGGGCAATGGCATTATAGACTCCACTGAAATGTTCACGTAATACTTGAGTTCAAACAGACGTGTTACTGCCATGTTGTAAGTAACATGTGCATTTCGAATTATATTATAGCAACTGCATGAGAGCGAGGCCCGGGCACCCTCAAGCATCCTCCGGTTAACGTGGAATATAATATAATAGCCATCCGCGTCAGTGATACGAAGGCGCAAAACGTTGGTTAGGTGAAGCAGAGCATTCATATCCATGTTGGCACTAGTTTTCAAGCAAATATACATCGACGTTTCTATATAGTTTGCCATTATTACATCCTCATAAAGTCCGTTCCTGGCACCGACAACTCGTTGCGAAAACAACTATATACGAACATCCAGGTGGAATAAGATTCCTCAAAGTTGGAGGGAATTCCTACACAGGTCATCAAATTGCTTGGCATAGCCCTGATTCCCAACAGGCCGGTAGGCCTGTATGACATCTCCTCGTATCTGGCTGTACCCAAGGGGATGTATGTTAAACGTACCAAGTCTCTATTTGCATGATAGACTCTTTAGGTCTCTCAGGATTTTAGTCGCCCTTGCTTGAACTATTTCCCGCAACTTGGAATATATTTTTCAGTCTGGGCACCACACCTGCTTTCCATATTCCACTCGTAAACGAAGGAGGGTTTCGTACAATTTCCCAAATGACCCCTCACCTACAGTAGGTGGGCTAACTCGAGAAATGTCAACCGAAATTCCGAAATGAGTTTTCATTTCGAAAAGATTAATTAAGTAGGGTTGTAAAACTAGTCAGCCTGCAACATAAGTCTATAATATTTCAGCTACCTCAGGATGCCGGCTTTCGAACGAACTTACAATCTTATACTCGAAGGGAGGGTATAATTCGGTTTTCAAAAACTTTTGTAATTCCCGAATAATTTTGAACCCGCTCTACCGTTACACTTGGATTCAGGGCTTCCAAACTACAAGCCGTATATTTTCCGCGTACGGAAAACCACACAGTCCCCAACGGTAATAAACGAGGACCATATAGGGTTCATAAAATTTATCGGTGGATTTGATCCACAGTGTTAACTTGACAAGTCACATTGGTAACTGCAGAGTCATGGCGATTTATGAACGGCCATTTCACGGTATTTAAAAGTCCTGTAATAAGAAACTTTTTTAAAACCGAATTATGTCCCTCCTTCGAGTACAGAATTCGAAGAAGACGTAACCACCTACCGAATGAGCGAAAGAATGAATATTTTTATGCATGTTTTCCATGAAATATAATTGGACTTTTAGGGGCATCGAAAATCAATGGAAAAGTTACATGCTACTTAAGCAGTCATTTTTTGCAGAGCATAGTTCTTGCATGCAGTCTTAACAAGTTCATTCGAAAGCCGGCACCCTGAGGCAACTGGATCATTATAGAATTATGCTGCATGAGGATTAGTTTTACAACCCTACTTAATTGCTCTTTTCGAAACGAGAACGCATTTCGAAATTTCGGTTGACATTTCATGAGTTAGCCCACCTACTGTATATCTATGAAAGTTTTTTTAATGGTAAAGAGAACATCAACTGCCGTTTTAACAACTCTGCCGCCTAATAGGTCAGTCACGAACATTTTGCGGACTACGTATGCCCCCCAGGCGGGGACGGCCAAAATCCCGGCAGAAAAGTGACCAAACTCCAGAGACTGAAAAAGGTTCTTAACCATATGGAAACCCTTGGGCTTCCAGACGGATATGGAGAAGCAATAGCGGCGTTAGAGAAAAGTTTAAATGGAGCACATATCAGTGTTTCACATATCTGGGGAATTTGCAGTTAACTGTCATTACTGCAGTGTCATCTACCTTGTTCGAATGACTCCTGCTCATCCGCCTCAATCACAGAGGTTCCTGCTGCTAGGCTAATTCACAACGGCACAAACGCTAAAACCGTCGACGGTAGGGGTACAGTATGCAACCCCTCTGGGTAAGCTTCTTAACGGCTTGCTTGACTGTAGGTCGCGATATGGGTTATTCAGGAAGCAGATTGGGATTTCCGGTAACGGTACTGACGCTAAAATTGCACGTTTTAGGCCCAAGGTTAGTGTTTGGGTAGCGGTTAGAATCGATTACTTGAGTTATTCTTGGGATTAGGGTTGTCAGGCTCGGAATGTGGCTTGAATTTGGGATTGTGGCTAGGGTTAGGGTTCTAGGGCTTGACTTAAGGTTAGTGACTTCCCATTTAAGGCATGCTATGGTTGGTATTCGGTTTGTGCCTAACTACGGTCCCACCAAGAGGGATATATACCACACCCTTGCCCCGGCAACTAATTGTCTAACTTCAAGCCGGAAGCACATGCGTTCAGACAGCCACAGCCGTCAAAGCCATAGACGATTCAAGGAAAACCAGCTCGACGACAAGGGGACCCCCCCCCTCCCCCCGATGTGATACAGCACACTTCACCTGGACACAGCCTACCTTAATGGGCGCATTTTGGCAGATGTGTACAAACGAATCGATCCTATAGTGAAAGATCCTACGACCTCGGCGGGATTTAAACTCGCGACGCAAAGGATAGGACTTAAGTGCAGCCAACTTTCTAATCACCTGAGTTACGAGGTCCCGACTGGGAGTCTGGAGTCCTTCACATTCAAACTATGCCACATGCCCAGCCTACTGACATCAATACAGTAGGCCGAATTTCCAAACAGGTTTTCCTAAACAATCAATACAGAGTGCACCAGGTGGCTGCCTGACTGCAAGCTATTTTGACCTAGCTTCGACGCAAATACACAAAAAGACAAACGAAAACAAAGAAGCACATTCTCTCCCTCAGATATGACCCAACACGCTCCCCGGTTTCAACAACGGCCACCACTGCCTGCAACAGCAACTCCGAATTCTGTACAGAACAAATCACTCATTTTTGTGTCTCCCCTCTGCTCCTACTAAACGGGATTTGACCTAGTTGTTGTGACGCCCAAATTATATTCATTGCTTAAGCCGACTTAAGCTACTTTTTGTGCATAAATGTGGAATATATACTACCAGAATAATGCTCTTTTATGTGTGATATCCCAGTGAGTTACCGGAAGAATCTTAGTCGTTAAAGATAAGGAAAAGCATATAGATAGGCATCCTGCCAGTAAAATTCGCGTGAGTACGTTGATGTGAAAAACCGCCAACTTAAGGGCGGCGATTCCTAATGGCACTCGGGGAGGTGAGTCGTCGGCAGAATCCATGAAATTAGGGAAAATGTTGGGGCTGCGTTTGGAGGTAACCTCTCATTCCAGCTGTAAGGTTTCCCGTTTCATGCCTAGCCGATATCGTGCTTCCCATCCTCACTCCAGCATTTCTTTGTCGCTCACTGGGTTATAAACAGACACGCATACATCGCTACCTTCGAAATGTAAGTAGTTTTTAAAGACTAGGGTTATAAGAGTGAAATCGCTGGTAAGACAGTACGGTTAATGATCGCCGCTCACTGTTGACTGTACAACGGGAAGTCCACATTCCCTCCAGCCATGGTCCGCCGTAGCAGGCAAAGTGTGAGCTCACATTTCAGTTGGCGATGCATTAAGTTCTATTGGCGGCTGCATCTGGGTTCGAATCCCACAGCCTCTGGGTCAGGGGTTGAAGCACGGCTGGGTGACGGTGGTAATTAATCAAAAAACTGCCGTTACGGCCACTCTCAACCTTCCGCCCGCCCCTGACACTGGCTGCTATTACCCCCCCCCATTCCCACACCCCGCCTGTGTTTTAGGGCGAACTTTTATCGATCTATCTTATCGTTGACATGTTTTACTTCTACCCCGTTCCCATATAACTGTACTGGCCCGACGAGAATTTATCGAAAGCTACGTACGCTCGCCACGTCGTCTTCTGATTACTCTTAACCTTATTGGTTCTACTTCCCGGCAGCTATTACTTATTGGATTAACGGTCTTTACGCTTCTTGACAAATTGCCTCCCGAGATTTCTACCCGACGCCTCGTCTGTCGGAAAAATTTAAGAAATGAGAGTGGAAGGGAGAAAATATTGCAAGTCAGTGGCCTCCTGCCACGGGCCTTTACACTTCCCATTTATTGTTACTAAGCTACCCACGGTTTCTATGTGCCCAAAGTGGGCTTTTCCATGGACAAAGAAGCATAAATAGTGAACTGGAAGCAGTCCTTCCCTTCCCCCACTCCCTGCAGTTCTAACTTCTATCTTCATAAGAAATAGCTGTTCGCGATAATTCTGGTGCCGGAGGAGCAAGATTGCATCACCAGGGCGGCAACTCCTTGAAGCCTTTTAGGCCGTAGTTGTGGAATCGCTTCTCACCCCGGATAATCGGCAGCAGAGCCCTCGGAGGCTGCAGTGTAGGCTTATGTCGATCCTCCGGAGTGGTTATGTAGAGCGGGGGCCCTACCGCGGGAAGAGGATGCCGCTGAGCCATTCGCCATTCGTTGGTGTCCACTGGCGTGCGTGCCGACACGCGTATCTTCTTGCACTCCTGCGCTAGCCTCTCGCCAGCGGGACAGAGGCGACTGAAGGCGTACCTGGCAATGACTAGACGCTGACGCACCCTTCGAATCATCGCTTCCGCGTAAACGTTCTCCAGACCAAGGCTCTCCAGGTCATAGTGGAGCTCGGCTTCTTTACGGGTCACCAGAAAGGTGTTCCAGGGTGCCCAGGGATCTGCCACATGCCACCGACAAAGAACTAGATCCGCCAACTGAGAACAGCCGGAAAGGGCAGACTTGTTGTCCCAGACGTCGTTGACAAGGAAGTAGACATCCTCCACTGTGACTAGTAGTTCCAGTTTTTTGGTCGGTGGGTCAACCTTGGAGTCTGTTACTGGTGTCTGAGTGCTGTCTGAAGAGGACACCTCAGTTGAACCTTTTTTATAGACTGTGCGCGTTGTGGTAGCGTCCAGATCCTCCTCATGATCCAGACGTTCCAATTCCGCTTGCTCTCTTCTCTCCTTCTCCATCTCAATACCGTCGAGGAGGAGGCGAGCCTCTTTGTGCCGTAATTCCTCCAGAATCAGTCGATAGGGCTCGAGGTAGATGCGTTCTCGTCCGCGATTGCTCTGACGTCGACAAAAGTAACACGGACCGAGGGAGTTGGCTCTGGCAACGGAGGGAAACTCCTCCAGACGCAGGTATCGTCCGCAAGACTTGCAACAGAAGGTGTTCGCCCACATCTTGGCCCGTGATTCAGGCAGGTACTTAAGATTTGGCAGAGGTAGGTAGTCGGCAATGCCGGGATTGTACTCCGGTTTCTTGCAAAACTGCACAAATCTCTGAACAATTCGAGCCCGGAGGCCGGACAGTTGGCAAGCCGGTACCCGTCGGACGATCATCTCAGTCTCGCGTTCAATCAGAAAGATCAGTTCACAACAGAGCTTGCTGGGGTACTCTTGCACAATTTTCTTCACGGACAGCAGCAAGTCCATGCGCTCATTTTCAGACAGGCAGTCGGACTTCAGACCCTGGTAGATGATTAGCAGTTCTCGGGCGCGCAGGGTCTCCGGAGTGTCGCGTTCTATGGGCTTACCGTCGTGGGCTGCCGTCCAGCGCTTGGCTGCAGCCGCCTTCTCCAACATATGCTCCTGAGCCCGTAGACGGCCCTTCTTGGAGATCTCAATTTGATGACGACTGATGGATGTAATGAGTTCCACCTCGCGGTCCAACAGCAGTGCTAGGGCCGCCTTACGTTCGGCCAGGTTCTTCGTCGTGGCGTAGATTTTGCTGGCCTCCTCTTTGCGCCACTGCTCTAGCGCATTAAAGAGACGGTCAAAGTCCGCACGGCGTCTCGGATGCAGTCGATGTTCGTAGTCCCGACCAAAGCGGCCGTCCCGCTCCTCCTTCTCGACAACTTCCTGCTCGGCGACCCATTGGTCGTAGAGATCACGCTGGCGACGCAGACGAGCAACCCTGCGCTGGGCCAACCAACGTCGCACGTAGCGCTGAATGATTATGACCTTGAAAGAAATCGTAAAGATGCATTTAAACGATGAATATGGCTGACTTCTGTCACACACTGATATTTAGTAGACGTGAAAATGCAATTCCCAGATGGCATATCAAAAGAAAGGGAGGCGTTCACCAGGAGGGATGTATTGGGGGTCTGACGTTTCGAGTGGTCGTTTCTTCTACCCATTTTCAGGGACTGAGAAGTTATGCACACAGCCTTCCTTATATAGCACACTTTGTTTGATGCCTGACCCGCCAATGCCGCCTATGTGGCTGCATCCGACCCGCATGTCACCGTGACCTGAATCCCGTCCATTTTCGTCGGCCGCGGCAATAGTTGACGGCCCCGATTGTCCGGCCTTGGTCACGGTCATGGTCAAGGCCCCGAAGGTCACGGGCACGGTGACGATTACGGCTCCGAAGGTCACGGTGACATGCAGGTCGGATGCAGCCACACAGGCGGTATTGGCGGGTCAGGCATCAAACAAAGTGTGCCATATGAAGAAAGCTGTGTGCATGACTTCTCAGTCTCCGAAGATGGGTATAAGGAAAGACTACTTGAAACTTCGGACCTCGAATACACCTCTCCCGGTGAACGCCTCCTTTTCTTTTGACACTGATATTTGTTTTAAATTATTTCAGTTTAAAAATGTGAGCAATATCGACAGTCGACTGGGTGGAGGAAGGGTTCTGAAGGTTCGGTCGTTAAGATGATCACTCGATGGGTCTGGAATATTGAATTTGAAGCCTTGCACGGAAAATAAATATCAGGGATTGCGCAAGGGAAATAAGCTGGCAGTTAGAACAATATGGTTAACGCATGGCTGACAAAACACCGCTTACACCTCCGTGAACCCAAAATGTATCGTTGTCAGGGCTTTCCTCTAAGCTACTGACATACTATCAAAGTGGTTCACGCTGTTTTGTTGCAATAGGCAAAGAGTAAGATTCAAAATATAAGAGAGAAATAGGACAAGGAGATAAGGGAAGGACAAAGGAAAGAATTGACGCCGGGAAGGACAACGCTTCACGAGGAGACCTTCAAAACTGCAATGTCCTTGTTTGGTATAATTAACCATGAGGATAACTGAGGGAAAATCATACCTACAGCTTAGTAGCGCAAGCTAATGAAATTTAATCAATTCGTAAACGCGGTCAAAGGCAGAAATGTCGCCGGCGAATCCTAGTCTAGCATATTGCGTTATTCATCAGGCAAAGTCATGTGAGAAACGGTGAGAGGACAGTGAAAAGACTATATGATTTGAGAATGCAAGAGAAATATCCATTGAAGTTATACACAGTGCCTGAGAACATTTCTTGTCAACCATATAACAAAACGCAACAACAGAAACCGCTCCGTGTGGTCATCCTGCTTCTTGTTCTGCGACTCCAGCTGATGCCCAGTGGCTCGCCCAACGAAGAAATTAGAGTATTTTATGCGAGAGGACAGGCTACGACCAATTTTACTTCTGAAGGAGCGTCAAGCACACACCGAAGACACAGGTAGCCCGACTAAATGGGTAATTATAAGTGAAGAAGAAGATTCGAGCACAGGAACACTTTGTTTATTGGCCTGAGCTTTCAGACTCGTACAGGAGTCCATCGTCAGAGGTAGTGGCAGCAACAGAACAAGCGACAGTTATAGGGCATTGAAGCCCATCATTGACCGACGGTGCAAGACTGGAGGTGACTACGCAGGGTTCTGTACGCCGGCGCTAGATCGATAAATCGATTGACCGAGTTCTCATACGAGGCCCAGGCTTCAATCAATTCTCGGCCTGCTTTGTTTCCGGCGTGGTCGACTGTTTTGGTGGCTGCGAAGTTAAGCTCGTGACCCATTTCGTAGATGTGGGCGGCCACTTGTGATAATGCGTCGCCTCGTCGCACAACCAGTGTTCCGGTGCTCGGAGCTTCTTCTTCACCTATGCATACACCTGAAACTCGAAATTTCGCCTTCATTCGTGAAGGGTAATTATTCATGCTGATGGTCGGAGCGGGATTCAGTAGCCAAAACAAATGAACTGCACATCAACCCCACCTCGTACCTATTCGCTTACATTTGCGTCTCTGTTTCTCACCGCCTCGGCGTCCGATTTAGTGTTCGAGTACGTATCGAAAGATCAATCAGATAGATCTCATGGCGCTCGCGTTTTCGCACGCACCTTCCGATTTTGGATCTCAGTAGGCCATCACACGGGTGTAATATTTGTCTGGTGAACTTAGCATGGCTGGGAGACTGGGTTTGGGCAACTTATGGTCCACGCCCACTGTCTGGCAGGAATATATCAGTAGGTAGTATAAAGGGCAATTCACTGCTTTGTTAAAGACATCTGCTACTGTCATCGCGGTCAAAGGTCAGACTCTGCCCCCGCCTCCGTGGATGAGAACAAATGTCCGGTCAAAAAATCTTCCGCGAAAAGAGCCACGAAGGCAGTATACGGTGTTAGAGATCGTTCACTTTGCAAAGTGCCAAAATGCAGGAAAACCTCGCGACCCGCATATCAAGACTGTAAAATGAAGGTTGAAAATCCATGAAAGGTGTTAGTTTCTCCTTAAGACGGTGAATAAACGGAAAAATGATGTGACCACCACTACCACCCTAAGAGGTCTTGCATGAAAATTTACTGCGTTATTGAAGAGGGGAATATCATCGCTATGACAAGACCTTTTTTTGCCTGACATTTCGGATTCGTAGTCGAGTTCGTCATAGATGTAATCAGATGTCTGCCAATATCGCTGAACCGAACAACGTCCCTCTGTACCCGCACACAGCCTTCAAATACGCAGGCTGTTGCAAGATTTTCGACAACGAGACAGTTTGTGAGAATTACAGGCGCAGTCTAGATAATGAACGACCAACTTACACCAATCTGAACCGTCTGATTGGAGAAGTGGTCAGTTCGATGAGGGCTAACCTCCGATTCAACGGTTTATTGAATGTCGGCCTCTTCGAATTGCAGGCAAACCTGCTGCTATGACCACGAATTCACTTCCCACTGGTAACTTACGCACCAACCATTTGTGCCAAGAAGACCAATCACGAACAGGTGAGCATATCGGGAATCACCAACGACTGCTTTGAGCATGCTAATCAGATGCTCAAATGCGATCCACGACATGAGAAGTACATAGCTTGCTGCATGCTCTACCGTGGTGATATGGCTCCCAAAGACTTCAATGAATTCATCGCCACGATAAAAACAAAAGGGATTAGCTAGTTCGTTGACTGGTGTCCAACCGGTTCCAAGACCGGTATCAATTATCAGCCACCGACTGTAATTCCCGGTGCTGATTTGGTTAAAGTTCCACGGTATAACAAGACCTTTGGGTAACAATCGGAAGATGGCACCCAAAAAAGTCCGTTACCTAGAAATAATACCTCTAACAGTCGATTCAAACGCCTTCAGGCTAAATCAGCGGTTGCAGGCCTACTTTCACGCATTACTTTGACTTTCCCCGACGGCCTAACATGGACTGACCGAATGAACATCGCAGGAGGTTACATGGACGATGGTCGCTGTTACCCAACCTTCCCCATCGTTACACATACACCTGAATATACGGCATACATTCGCATTATGACAGTTTATTACAAAACAAAAGCACTTTTAAGTAGGATACGTCTGCACAACATGGGAAAGGAACAGTTACCAGGCATCTGTCAAAGACATGGCATTGAGGTCAAACCAAAGACGATACTGAATTTCGCCTATGTGAGCCCACACAGCTCGACCACATACAGGGCCTCCCTCGTGGAGTTTCCTTTTCAGTCTACTCCAGTATGCCTCAATGGCATTGGTGCGCCCGCCGGTGGTAGGGTCCTTGAAGTTCTTTGAGTGTTTAACAGAGAAATGTAGATAACCTTCTGAGGGAAGACGATTATACGCCTTCCACTCGACCGTTATCACTACACTGCCGTTATCACTACACTACACCGTTATCACTACACCGTTATCACTACACTGGTGATCCATTGTGTAATAACGGAACGGAGAGCGGGCCAACTTCGATCATTAATCTGTTCAAATAAGGCTTTCCGTCGACTAGTATCGTACATCCCGACCAGCCACCACCCCTAAAACCCCTATTACCACCTGTCCCGTAAGAAAGGCTGGTTTGGTTAGGGGGATTTTTTGTGTGCCATCTCCCGATTGTTACCGACCTTTGTTCTCCTGACGTTCCGGATTCACACTTGACTCCATCATAAGAGACAGAATCAGACGGGAGTATTGTGCTGCACAGATGTTGCAGCATTTACAGGATGCAGTTGCCATGCATCCTAAAGATACTCTTTCATAAAGTACAAACTTTGAATAAGACGTGATTGGCTGTCACGTGAATACAAAGAATATTTTTTTCCGTAAAAAAGCTATTTGAGTTTCTTAGGGCCTCGAAGACTGGTGGGAAATATTCTCACTACTTTGGAAGTCACCCATTGCAGATGGCAATTTTTGCAGGCGGTCAGAAAGAAGCTCGTTCAAAAGCCGACTGAAATATTTGGGGATTATGTTGCAGGGCAAACAATACTAAAACGCTTCTTAAATAGTCTGTTCTGATCGAAAACAAGTCATGGCATTCCGGCCAACATTTCGTGAGAGAGCATATCAACAGTAGCAAAATTGGACGGCTTCCACATTCTCAACAGGCGGTTGCGCGTGGTGCGATAAGTGCTAATTTCCCGAAGGCAAGTTGTGGACTGCCGAAATCTCATCCCCTTTGTAGATCCTTGAGCAATTTGACTCAACGGCTCTGGCACGGGGAATAGTGGTCGTTCGCGCGCTCCTCGAGTGGCTACCTACCTAGCCTAGGGAAATTATCAGCGCAGAATATGACGTGAGGACTGAAAAACTGTAGGATGGCGAGTATTACTTTCACATATTACAAAAGGGGTGTAGGAGTGCCTTGTTGGAAAGAAAACCGCGTTGGTGTAGTAGGCTGCGTCACTTGCTCCGAACTGTCTTCAACTGGCACTTAGCTCTCATCTGTGGCCGTTCAAAACTCGACTCTACCTATCAGCGACCTCCCGAGTAACCGTCTCGACCGCGTACTAAATTAGATGAGGGGATCTGGTATTATTTGACTCCACACCCGGTAATTCTGCTCCCCTTGCAATCCTTCCTCCTTCCGTTTACTTCAAAAACGCCTGGGGAGAGTCCAAAGTGCAATCTTTTAGGCTAAGTCGGGCCGCTCTCACACTAAAAAAGCCGTAGGATTGAAAGCGCTTGCTATGCCAGTGGTGGTGGTGGTGGTGGTGGTGGTGATGGTGGTCAAGAGGTCTGAAAGCGTGCGCTATGCCATTATCAGCAGACCATGGCCCTCGCAGCCTGGTTTGCACTGGCACTTTCCTGACACCTGGTTTTCTGACGGTGGATGCGCTTGCGCTCCCGCTGGGTAAACAAGCGGCGGGTATGGCCGCCCAGTCATCATCCTCGTCCTTCTGATCCCTGTTGGGATGTTTTTGTTGTTGTTGGTGAAAAATCCTGGCCAAGTGTATGGTGTGGTAGCACGCCTAGGTGCGGGTCCTGCCGTGCCAGCCACCTGCGCCCTCTCCGCCTCCGATCTTCTTGACTCTGTCTTGACACCGGGTTCAGGTGGGTAATGGGAAAGAGGGAGTGCGAAAGATGCTGTGCAAATCTACTACCACTATAAACGAATTCACGCGCAAGTCGCCGTGCCTGTTGCACCTTGCTGTGTAGCACACGGCTGACATCGTCGGAATCAACGGCCGAACTGTCAGGTTAAATCGGGTTGCTCTAACACTAAAAAAGCCGTAGGTCATACTGCAGTTCCACAAGTGTCCGGCATGTTTGGGCAACCCGACTTAGGAATAGCACTCTTAACAACCTCGAGTGGGAGGAGGCTATAGAAGGTACCCTAAAAAGTTCTAGGATCACTTCATCTGCACTCTGACTGTGGATCGAGACAATCAACCAAACAAAAACCGCTGCTCCCTCCTCTCCGTCTCACCCCACAGGTTGATAGGCTGCAGTTGACCACTCTGAGAGCCTGAAAAGTTGATGTTTTGGATAATCCATGGAGTAACCAACGCTAATCACATGAGAAATGGCGCATCATAGGGTGAAAGTTGTCGCCCTCAGTAAGGCTCAATTCTCCAAATAGGGTTAGCTAGAGGACGCAGGTTCCGGTTGCACCATCTTCTGGAGCAGACGCTCAAAAGCAAAACGTGACACTAGATTCGCCCTTGCCATTCGAAACGACATTGTTGGGCAGTTACTCTGTCTGTCACAAAGCGCTGACGACTGTCTCATGGTCCTTGGCCTGTCTCTTCAGGGAGCAAAATTAGCCCCCGTCATCATCGTCTACGCCCATCAAAGATCAACCCGGACTAGTTGAGGAACAAGTTCTGCAAAAACTCGTGCCCACTCATGGCGACTGAGCCGAAATCGTTAAAATACACTGTCCTTTGTGGCTTTAAAGCTTTCGCCGAGACAGGCAACGCGGTCTGACAGTGTGTTTTGGGTACCCATGCGCCCCCAGTTTCGGCGAAGCTTAGCAGAACACCACCGCCTCCCGACCGAAATTGGCAGCTCATGCATTCATTGCAGATAGCTGCGCATGGTACGATGATGGCTTAATAGTCCAGGTACCGCCGTTAGCACTTGCTATGCCTTTGAATATCTAACAAAATGAGGCGGCCCCCATATCAGTCGCAGGTGGTTGCACGTGGTCCGCAGTCTGGCCGTTAAGTTTCGCAATGTTCTTACTCGTGTGGGTTCGTCGATCATTTAGAAAACCAACTCTGACACTGGAAATAGTGATCCTCAGCGCGCTTCCTGCGTAGCCAACTTCTTTGCCTAGACAAAGTTTCAGCATTTAATATAAATGGGAAGCCATTACGCCTCTTAAGTGACTGACAGCCGGAAAACCATGACTCGAGCAATATGCAGCTCACGCCGCAACCCGAAAGTTGACGGCGTTCCTCCTTACTGGTGATGCAGGGCAGGTCTCCTGTTTTCTGATATAACTTCTTTGCCAAAAACTGCAAAAGACCCGGTAAGCAACTTCAGATGTTTCCTGTTGTAATGGTTCCAGTGATTATTTATCCTTCCTTCTAAATGCTTTCTGGAAATCACATCTTTGCTTCAATTGACAAAATTATTACGTTGCCTGAAACAAGCGTCTTACGGGACTTGCACGGATTTTGACAAACAATTCGGATCGGATGCTGTCTTTAGCTTTTTTCCTTCTAAGTTAAGCTCCGATCTCTGGGTAGAATTACTAAGTCATCAAACATTGTTGCTGAATGAGTTCGGTGTCTGACGGCAGCCTTGTTCCTCCTGGTTATACATAAAGCATTTTCGGTTATCACAACAACAAATTTTAAACCCGCTTCCTTTTGGGTAAAAAGATTAACTTTCTATGTTTCAAGATGGACTGGCTAATATCTTTGATTTAAAAAGCATTAGGCTCATTGTGTTAGAGCTTCTGTGTTAACAAAGGACGAAGGCGTTTAGTCCGGTACTTTGAGATATTGGGATACTAGTTCCAGATCGAAACTGAAATACTGTGCGTTGCAATGGACAAGCAGACATCAGCAAAGAAACTTTTGAACTTTACGAAGTACAAAGATCAAGACAACAGATCATGATTGGCCATTGAAGTGACAGTGCTCATTAAATCAAAAAGTTTGCAAAAACAGGGAAATAAACTTTACGTAAAAAGAGACCTCATTTCCAAACAATATATCGTTTCACACAACACATCAGTGGCTTCGTCGTGAGAAGTGGCTCACAGGCAAATACATTTGTGACTTTGCACCGCAGCTAACGTTAAAGAAACTTACAGCAATGCTAGCATTTTCTTGCCATCGCACGCTCTGAAACCGTGCCCGAAACATGTTTACTTTCATATTATTACTTTTTCTCTAAAAGATCATAAAAAATGCGTGCAAACGTTGACCAGGTTAACAGTGACCTAGAAAAAACCGTAAAACTGGGTTGTGAGTCCGATTTCTTGCTCGAAATTAGCTCACATTTATTGTCCTAGCTAATTGTATGCGTACGACCTAAGTGAACTTTATGCCCTGTGGTCGCAATTCCAACAGAAAAGCCAACAATATGAAAAGTTGAAAATAGTACGTTACCTGTCCTAGAACTCTTTCGGCATACTTATCAGCCGTTTCGTATTGCATTGGTACAACTAGTTTATCAGTTGCATTGCTGTAGTAAAAGCCCACTTTTGTCATTGCTGTTGACGAATCATGAAGAGTTTCCTGCGTGGCATGCTTCATTTTGTACGTCTGGGTCTCTCTTGAAAACATCGGAACTGGTGGTCTACGGATAGGCTTTGGAAGTGTCTGAGCCGAGGCGTTATGAAACACCCTCTCGTCCAGTTTGCTCTTGTATCCACCCAGAAAGGGTTTATGACGTTCTTTTGACATCCAATTAATCTCGATGACTCTGTTAACTTTTATGCCAGATTTATTTGTTAAAAATATGGACAAGAGGTCTGGTTCGCCATCTTCATATTCTCTTTCGTTCTTGAATACGTATACATCGACACTCTCCTTTTCTGTCAGCATCAACTTTCTGGAACCCAACTTTATTTTGGTTGTTTTTGAAGGATCCTTAATGTGGCACTTCAGGTCATTGGCCTCATCTGCATTTTTGAATGTAGTTGCCGGAGTCATTGTATTTGTTATGATTTTTCCATTATATAGGAGCTTTATATTCTTAAAGCTGTCGTCACACTCGATGGCGATCAGTCGCTTCAGTTCCTCGAATGGTATATTTTTCGGTAATTTGGTAATCGTCATTGTAGTGCTATAAGGAAATTTGACGTTCACCTTTCCTGTGTATATTGTCGGCAGCTCTATAGCATTGTTGTTCTTCGCTTAAGCAATAAAGGGTCTTGGTGACTTACAAAATTCTTCCAATGCACCCATGTTTAAGGCTTCACTTTCAAGGCCAAGCTTATCTGCTTGGGCAAAACTGTTTTCTTTGGATAAAAAGGAAACATTCAAAAGTTCCTTTTCATCTAAAATTAATGCGTATAATCATAAGGTTTAAATTTGATATTATGATTGAGATTGCTAATTTAGGGTATGTAACTACCGTTTATAGTAGTTGTTCTACTAAGGGAGTCCGATGCCGACACTCTCCCAAACTTGTCATTATTTTCCGCGACTTGCGCCTGAACCTTGGGTGCAGAACTCGCGTCTTCTTCACTCATACTGACGACTCACAGCTGACAGAGCGCCATGGAAACAGACGTACGCCAAAATTTAGAAACTCGCGAAGGTCGCATGTTATCTCGACAGTCTTAGAGGAGTTTTGGGTTATTATAACACTAAATTATACGCCAAAGACAAGTTTCCATTTCAGTCATTCATGTTCAAGGTGGGGTATCCGTTAGAGACGTCTTTTATGTATGCAATTTATTATATCGATGGAAACTGGTACTTTACTGTCGAAATCGAAGACCCTTATGTGCAGTACAGTCTCGCAACAAAATATTAGGTATTGAAGATGCGAAAATGCCCATTCAGCAATGCAGAAGAGTATTTGGCGAGCATAACTGTTATTTCGATAATTTATCATTCGGCCTGCAAATTTATATGGGAGCGACGTACGAACAGATACGTGAGGGCGATAAGAGCAATCGATTAAAGTCCATTTTTTTATAAAAACGGCTTGCTTGCTTGCTTGCTCTCTCTGCTTGCAACTAAAAATGGCTAGTAGAATCCTCTCCGTCTAAATGTCGCTGTATGTGTTTTAGACCTGATAGATTACCCCATCGAGTGGTCTTTCAAGGCACACCTATGAAAGCGTGTACCACCATCAAGGATTTAGTTTGAAGCTACACTCATAACCTGGATCTCTCGCCACACACTGAGAGAATTACAGTGAAATCAAATTCAGACTCTATCGTATGTTTGTACGTCCCATTCTCGAGCATTGTTGCCCCTTCTTTGGTTTGATGAATGAAGCCAGTAGTTTAAAAACTGAAAATGTCCAAAGACGTTTTTCTAAAAAACTTTTAGATAAGGAACATCCCAATATCTCCTACTCAGATAGATGCCAGCTAATTAACCTAAAATTTTTATGGGTTCGAAGACTAGAAGCGGGCTTCTGTCTCCTCTCTCGCATTAATCATAGTTCAAATTTTCCTCGGATTTCAGCACTCACCCCCAGTAGCCGCCCATACAATCTTCCCAAGCCGCCCAAGCCCGTTTGTGCACAACTGTTCAAAATCCTTAGACTCGAGATAGGTTGAAATTCATTTATAACTGAAATATTTGACATATTTCTGCGTCGATTTTGCGTCGAGTTTTATTAGCTGTCGAAAATAACACATAAATCCATTACACTCTCTCCATTTATCCATGACTGATGTTACGTTTGCTGTCAACAAAGTTGATCTTTCGGCCATCGTCCGTTTACAGAAGTTCATCGAGAAACATGAACATATTTTTACGATTCTCGATTCACTAACAGACTCAAATAGATTCACGAACAACCTAACGAGCCTACCACAAATTGAATCGATTATGCACTTAGTTTCGTCAGAAGTCGCGGATAGATCGAAACGCAGGCTCAATTTCATTATCCGTAATATACCCCACACTGTTAATCCGATGCCATCAATTCAAAATTTTATACATTCGTGTGGCTTAAATATCAGAGTAGCTAACACTAAAAGACTTCACTCCAGAAGCAAAAACAAACCCGTCTTATTAACATTCTACTCACAGGCGGAAGTTGAGATTGTCCTGCAAAATCCCGAAGTAAACAGAAATCTGCGGAACCTTAACTCGTTTATAGGTCCAGATTTGCCACCTATGCAAAGACGTAAACTACGGGAAAAAGACACCAGCTACAAATACAATAATCAGCACTCCGGTCCCTCAACTGAACCTTTAGCCATTACTTCTACTTCTAGCACTAATAAAAAGAAATACACAGGCCAGCGTAAACCAAATGATAAACCCACAGCCCCCGCAGAAAAACCTCCAGCAAGTACGTCTGACTCTAGTTCTCAAGATAAAAAACGCGCAACTGCAAAAACAGTTAGAACTGCTGGTCAGAAACAAACGAGGAAGGCACAACAAAATAACAACGTTCAACCAGAACAAAACGATGATGCAGATCCCGGACCGAGTCATTTGACACCCTTAGGTAGCAGTATACGTTTTACGACATCCCCCAAGACCGATCAGTCAGTACTAGAAAACGACTACCAAACAAGACACATAAACCTAAAGGCTTTACTAAGCACACCAACACAACCAAAACGCCCTACGTATGTTGACATAACAAATAGAAGCTCACCAAACTCTAACCAAAAACAAACAAGCTTCTATAACCGCAACTCGACTCCCCAAAATCCACCTGCATGGCATAGGAATAAGCCAAATCACTCTAGCATTCCAAACTCCTTACCACCTAATTACAACCCTTCAAATTACTTTGGCTTTTACACCTCCCCAACTGAAACTCCATTTAGATACAATTACCACCTAGTTAACGCACCTCCCCATATGTACCCTCAGTCCATACACACTAGCCCATGCACTCACACTACGCCATACGCATCACCATATCCTCCGAGAATCACACACCTACCTCCATTTAGTCCATCACTCACTCAAAGTACCCCCAGAAATCCTTTTTTTCACCAGAGCCCACCCCATCCATATCCAACATCCTAAAGATAGCTCTTATAAATTCCAGATCGATTGTCAACGAAATATCCCAACTTAGAACTTTTGTTGAAATATATAACCCCGATGTAATTTCCATTACAGAAACATGGGCAAATGAGCTTATATCGAATGCTTCACTATATGTCCCAAATTATAATTTCTATCGACAGGACCGTGTTAATAAACGAGGCGGAGGTTGTCTTATCTACATCAAAACTACCATTGAGCAAAGTGGCATTGATGTCCCAACCGAAACCTTTTCTGGAGAAGCGTGTTTTGTCAAAATAAAATCTCATGCCCAGGAAAACAAACTAGTCGGATGCCTCTACTCCCCTCCAGAATGTAGTAGTGATGACACAAGCCTCAACCTCTTAATAAACAATATAGCTAACATAAAAACTGAATATAAGATAATTGCAGGCGACCTAAACCGCCCAGAAATAGACTGGGTCGAATTATCAGCACCTACCAGGCACGAAGAATTCTTGTCTTCAATTATCTTTAATAACTGGACACAAATAGTTGACAAACCCACCCGAGGAAACAATATACTAGACGTTATTAGTCGTTTATTAGTCAAGACCAGACTCCACTGCAACGAAAAATTTCTCCCCCATTACCAAACGTAAAGCCACCCCCGAATTCTACTCAAATGTCTTTTTCCTCTAAAGCAGTTTCTCCATCTGGTGTCGACCAAATCCCCCCACTATCTACAGCGGCCCCAGTTCCATCTTGCTCTTCGACTGATCCCAGTATCACAGAGACGGTTAAAACTAGCCTCTTTAAAACTCCCCCACGGAGCAAGGATTGTTCAAATGCGGCTCCCAAATTTATAAGGGAGCTTGATCTTAACAGTAAAGATGAGCTAGTCCTTGAAGCACAACCGGCTCCCAGCACTCAGAATAGTGATTTGGTTAATAAACTTACATCGAATCCACCCCGTTCCCACGCCTGGCCACTCAGGTCTGACCTTGGAGTTAGGTCTAATAAGCTAGATGAGAGTTCAGGGAGGTCTTTACCTGTTCCTATCCTGAATTCTCAACTTAACGCCACAGCTGTGAAGCCCTCTTACACATCAGACTGCAAAATACAAGTATATAGCATTGCTGATAAATTTTCCAATCCCATTGCTTGTCTGACACCCCAAATAATAAAGCCCTTTCCTGATGTTAACTGTTTCCCGAAACCATTACGTCCGCCACCTAACATAAACTACCCCTCGTATTATGCTAACAATTCCCAAAATCCTATTTTCTTGTCTCCTATTTTTCCAACCCAACAAAATAGTTTTCCTATTCCTGGGTGCTCCTCAAATGTTTTTCCACCTAATGCTGCATCTCTAACTAGTAATTACCCCATAAATTTTAGACCGCAGCAACTTTGTCCTCCACCAATTGCTCCGTTCCAACAGCTTAATTTTCCACCTCCGGCTCTTCCTTTTTTATAAGTAGCAATGAGCGGAACCTACATATTAGGAATACGCTCAGTATTGTCTCTCTCAACGCAAGATCTGTCGTACAAAAGATGGCACACCTAAGAAGTGTAGCTGTTGAGTTTGACACAGACGTATTGTGCATTACTGAATCTTGGGCCCACTCTCTAATTTCAGACTCGGCACTTAACATAGATAGCCTCAGTTTATACCGCCAGTACCGTGCCGACAGACGCGGCGGTGGATGCCTTCTTTACATAAGAGCATCACTTGCACAATCGCCTTATAATTTGAACATTTCCTCCTTCTCTGGAAATTTATGTTTTGCTTCGGTAATCCTTCCGCAAAATAGGAAAGCCTTAGTCGGATGTGTATATAATCCTCCTTGTTCCTCCGGAAATGAAAGCCATCTTTGTGAACTCTTTGAAAAAATTGCAGAAATTTCTTTCGATGTCAAGATAATCGTAGGCGATTTTAATTTGCCAGAAATTGACTGGCACACACATACTTCTCCTCCTAAATTCCAGAAGCTGCTTGACACAATTTACTTTTCAAACCTGACTCAATTAGTTCACTCTTCGACCAGAAACGATAGTGTTTTAGACTTAATTTTTACTAATGGCACCTTCCCTTTATCTATGGATTTTTATCATGACCTCTTTGCAAGTGATCATGCATTAATCCATTGTCGCCTTCCAGTTGCCATTTCCGCAAAGCCAACAGTTCAACGTAGTATTTTTGGCTTTGCTAATGTTAATAAGGATTTAGTAAATAACTTTACATGCACTCTTGATGGGCACAATATTTTTTCAAATAATGATCTAATTTTTTTCAACAATTTATTGCAATGCGTAACAGAAGGTCTTCTTGACCTTATTCCTCGGAAGATGTTCAAACCGAGTGCTAATTCCACCGCTATCCCACACTTTCTTAAAAACAGACTTAAAAAGTTGCGGAAGCAGTTTAAAGATCCTTCTGTGAGTTCATTATCAGTTCATCTAAGAATCGTTGAAATATTTGAACTAGCTTCGAAAATGAGGCTCGAGCGAGATAGGCGTAGAGAGTCTTTAGCTATTAATGACGTGAATTCTTCTA